TTTTTCTAAAGAAAATGCCTTTAGCTTCTTAAGGAATTATATCCTCATCAATTGATTTTAACATTAAAGCTTTCCAAGTACAAACCCTAAAGTAAATAATTTATCGACTTCATAATAACTGTCCTAGCGTTGCTTAAGACAATTTATACGTTACTTTTTTTACGACATATGTCCTGCATTATTCTTTATTTATTTTACTTGACGATTTTTATAGGAGGATAAAAAATAAAATGTGGTTGTGCACCTTAATATATTAAATAGTTTCAATGGCTCGATACAGCGATCTGTGTACGCAGGCGCATTCGTGTTTCGAGTTTCGAGACATCGCTCGTTGTATCGTGGCTGTATCGATTTATCCCCCTCCTTCAGGCTAGTCCCGGATTCCCCCAGTAGTGCGGGAACGGGGTAAGTAAGAAATATTTAGTTTTGTTGCGGAACCAAGGGTATATCTGAAGATATCACTAATTTCGCTCAACACTTGCTCGATTAGTTCCACGCCGAATTCTTGCATCGTGTGAAATATTTCAACTATCCCGAACATCTATTTAGATATGTACGAAAAATAACTGAAATTACTTCGACATAGAGAGACTGAAAATTTTTAAATTTTTTACTAATAAAAAAAAAAAATTCATTTTTATTCTTTACTATCAACATTTTTTTCTATTATGCCGTAAATTCTACCTGTTTATTTATAAAAATTCCCACATGAAATGTTTTTACCATAAAACCAATAGAATATTAAGAAAAAAATTGGTTTTCGTATGAATGCATTTATTTTATCTGTCATAAACTTATTTGATGTACTATATTTCGCACAATGCATCCATATTTTATTCAATACAGATTATCGGTGGCAAGTTTTCCGCACCATAAATTGAATAATGTAAATATAGAACATATTGGCAAAGAAAAGTTTGTATTGATGTTATCAAAACCCACTAACTCATGTGTTTTCGAAAGTTTGCTCCTTGACACCTGTCAAATTTCGTGTTAAGTACATTTACATTTTTATTCGTCGGTACAATATGATAATGTTTCCGTATGTAATCGTTGGATGGCGTTGGAGTTGAATTTTCACTGGGAAAAGAGAGAAAATGAAGCTTTTCTTCGAGTGTTGGTAAAAACGGGAATAGCTTTATATTAGTTGGCCTAAGTAGTTGTTTCAGATTATAGTCAGACGACAAAGGCACACAAATAAACAAACAAGCTAGATAAATAGACAGATCCCATGGATAGGAAACACTAGTAAATGTAAACAATGAAAGGTAATAGAAGGAACAGGCAAATTTAATTTCATATTTATCAAATGCTTCCCTTTTCCTTTTTTTCTAAATATCATCAGAGACTCAATATAAACTTGAAAACAATAGACCATAAGAGGTGCTTTAAAGAAGATTAGATTTTTCAAAGTAATACTTTTTTTCTGTGACCTCACGTTATATTTTATAATAATATGTATATAGTTTGATCATAAAAGTACAATCTACAGAGATAAATACCGCTTCTTCCCTTGTGAATGGAAAGGGGTTGATGGTGCATTGAAGCATACACGCACGGTTAAACGTACAATCGCCTGTTTGGAGTATGGCCACACGGAAATATCGACTTGTGTCAGTGTGAAGGGATAAAACCAAGTGAAAAGTTGTACGACAGTTGCTATACCTACAAACAAGTTTATAACGTAGGTGCGTGCTTCACGCGACATCTCATGTCTTTGTTGAACTGCATGTAAAAAAGCCATCGTTAAATTAATAATAAATAAATGAAAAATGGAAACCCTGACACGAATTATATTTATTGCAATTTCCAATAATTATTTCTATGTTAATTTGTTCAAATTTACCGATGCAAAAATTTTTTTTTGATCTTAAAAAAATTGTTGCTGCATAAAGATGATAAAGGTAATAATAAGTAGTAATTAAGAGAAATATTTATGCGATAATAACAGTTTCTTTTAATAAATAAATCCATCATGTAATCTTATCGTTTATGTGAAATATTCCAACACAAATTATACCTATTCTTATAATTTGTTGAATGAATAAAATTATTGTAAGCACAATTTATGCGTCACTGATATACTAAATAACATGATGAATACATATGATTTAATATAAAATAAATATTTCTTTTATAAAGCTCAAAGTTTTATGATCTCAGATGTGACACTTATTGATTGATGTGGTATATCATATAAATAATGTATTTTATATGACAAAAAACTTTTGACAGTTGGTGTCACACACTAGATATATCTACTCAAAAAAGCTTTAATAGTTGAGAATGTCTCTAAAATAAATTTGGTTAAAATTATCGGGAAGCTTCATTTAATGCAAGACTGAAGAAATTTGTTGCTTCACTTAATTGTAATAATTACGTTCTTATGTTAATTAAGTGAAATTAAATGGATGAAAAGTCCGAGGTAGGAAAAATCTATATTCCTTTCTCGTTTCACGTTCAAATTTCAATACTTTTTGATACGTAACTCTATCCAGAGCTTTTGTCTATATAATGGTACTTATTATGTAAATTCACAGCCAATATGTTCAGTTCAACTTGTTTCTTATCCTGGTATTTTTCTTATCTACTTTCTTCTTGCATACAATACCAAATTTTTCTCTTCAGTTGGGTTTTAGTTGTTTTCTTTTTAGTCCATTTTTGCGGTTTTTCTTGTTTTTCTTTATCGCTCTCATCGCATAGTGAGAGTGTGAAGGGAAAAGGTGATTTGTCGTTGCGGATATGAGAATGGCGAATGCCCCTCTGGACGCAATATTATTTTAAACGATGATATAGTAGGACTGCGTGGTACTGTAGAAACCGCGTGATGCCTATTACTCCTAGTTCACATTGTGTGTAAAATGAAAGTCACAAAACATGTATCGTTATATAATTACACGTTTTCCTCGCATTTCTATGACTTTTTCTTTTACCACTGTAATAAACGTTATTAAATTACTTGGAAATTTATAACTTATGTATGACAAGGGTTCGAGGTTATTTTAACAAATAAAAAATCTTTAGGACACGTTGTAGTAGACCGAAATAGCCTCTGTAGGTTAACGGAACAGTTGGTAGTAGAATGAAAAGAGCGGGAAGGAAGAGTGATGTGGGGTGGTAAATGGCAGGTACCACCAAGGACGAATTAATTCGCAAACTTTGAGGCAAAGGACAACATTTAGGCGGCAAAGTTAACTGGTGGTTATAAAAGTAAGTGAATCTATCATGAGGAAAATGATGATGAAGAAGACGATCATCATACAAGACAGAAGGAAAAACAGACGAAGAAAGCTTTCAAGAGAACTTTAGTTAGCTCCGCCCCTTACCAATAGAAAAGCACAGGGAATCAGTTATCTTCTCATATAGCGGCCAATGTAAAAGAGCTTTGGTCGCGCAGTCTCCACAATGAACCAATCGTGATATACCTAGAAAAAATTACACATCCGGTAACTACTGACTTTTTTGTTGTTCTTCGACATAAACTTGAAAAAAATGTGATGTTCTCCATCACATTGTCTCAGCATAACCACCTGTATCGTTTTTACTTGCATTACCTCCAAGAACGAACGCTATTACAATCATTTAAACACTTCCTTCTATTTATGGTTATGTGTACTTTAGAGTGCCATGCAAGAAATATATATATTTCAAAAAGTAAAAACATAACTGAGCTAACAATAAGAGTGTTTTTTTATTGAAAATTTTTCTCTAAATGTTTCAATATTCTTGGAATATTTTAACTTTGTTTCAAGTAGAACGAAGCTTTTACATTTTTTTTTTCGTTTCTATTAAGAGTTGTAAATTTTTTATCATTTTTTTTATGCAAAAAATATCCAACTTTGATAATTAGGTAGTAAATCATTGATTAATAAAAAAAATAAATATAAAGAGTGCTTGATATTTTTTAACAGACCTATTAAATAGAAATTACAGTGTTCCGCAGTAAACGGAGGATATTTAAATTACTCATAAGAAACTGCCGATAAAATAGGAATTTTTATGACCGACTCGATTTGATCGTAGACACACAAAAATTTTAAATGAGAAATTATGAAATTTCTTACAAATGTCATAATTCATAATTACGGTTACTTCAGTTTACGGTAGTTGTACCTGATAGAAAGTTTCTTTCGTGGATTTATAATAACGACTATTTTTAACCTACCAGAAAAATTAACTTGAGAATGATAAATTTCTTTTTCACATGAACGAGACTGTCATATACATACAATTGTGTCTCAAATACGTATAAATTAACTTTTGATTTACTTATTATCCTCTTTTTACGTTCGATAATATTTGGATTTTATTAATTAAATACACATTATTCCTACAAAAATTGGAAATATAAAATTATTCAGAAGAGTTTAAAAAAAAAGGGTAGTTAATAATAATATTATTCATGGACTTTTTTTCATTCTAATTACGATTCTCCACAAAATGAAAAATAAATGATGCATAAAATAGACCAACAATAGCTTTTTTAATTTTAAGTAATTATTGGTATAAAAAAAGATGAAAATAATAATGTGCATTCCGACGAAAATGTTTACTGTGCACATTTACCTTTGCAGTATTTATTTTATTCCATATATTTATAGTATATACTAAAGCTAAAATGTACATTATATAGTATATAAACTAATATTTTAGTGTCGCATAAAGTATATGTGGAGCAACGGATGCGGCAGGCGATTCTGTGTTAGCCTGCAGAGTGCAAACTAGACAACCCGGTGGTTCGAGCAAACTATTAAAAGTTGCAAATTGCTGCAGACACGCTGCGGGTCTGTTTTAGCGAACTGATTGTGTTCTATGTATTTCTATACTCCAGTAACTTGTCTCGCCTATTATAGACCAATATCTTTTCTATCACTGAAGTGTCAAGACAACAGAGATAAAAAAAACACGAATATCAATAAAAAAATCATTCCCAAGTTTTGATTTAATTTTTTTCCAATTTATTCCACTATTACTTATGGACTGTTTTATGTTATTTACAGGACATGAAAGTCAATTGGACAGCACCAATAAGTAATCAACTGAAGCAGGATACAAGCAGTGAGTACACTCTGATCATAGTTTTACTCCTTATTTTCCTACTTTTTAATTTTTTTTTAAAAGATTTAAAACCTGAAAAATATAATTCAGTAACTGTTAGTGACAATTTTGAGAAATATTTGCTATTTTTTTTTTAGATCTCTTCAGAAACTTTTTTGAAGAAATAATTATTTTTAGAAGTACAGATAATTTTATAGGAAGATTTCTACAAAAGTATAATGGAAGATTTTTTTTTTTAGATACAAGGATATTTTTATTACAGTCGTCATCATGTCGAAAACCCTTCTAGTTTATTCTTAAACAAGTTTCTACCCTTTCAGTTATTGTTAGAATAGAATTAAAAATAATTTTTTTATTTTTAATCTCAACCAAGCTACTTTAATGGCACTCGATCAGACCTTTCTGATAACCATTTAGTAATGATTATAATTATCTTTGATAAATTTTATGCAAAATTTGTCACGTTTATTAATTTATGATGACTTCAAAAATCATTGGATTGCCACTTTTACGAAATAGTAAATTAATTTAATCAAATTTAACATACAATAATAATTCATAAGATAATAAATATAGAATCCATAAGCGATTTTAACGTAAAAAGTTAATTAGTAACTTGATGAAAAATTATTATTTTAAGAAGATTATTATAAAATAAAGCATAATATTTTCTACCGAAAGAATAATCAGTGTAAAATTATACATCATAAAAATTATGATTATATACTTCAATTAGTACGATTTAGCGTATTTATTTATCATTCAACAAACTTTGTCGAAAATTTTATGCACAATAAATAACTATTTGGATGAGAAATATTTAAATGAAAATTTACAACACCTAACAAATGAATTCCTGATTTGTTTCTACACATGACATTTATTTTTAATGTGTGATAATGAATATTAATTTTTCCAAACCTGATAAACCAACAACTGAGATTAAAATATTTACACTAAACCACATCAAAAAATGTGTTAAATCGAGAAAAATTTTTTATTATCCATTTCAGTAATTTTATCACAGACAAAAAAAATAATTTAGCACGAAAGTAGTTTCACACAAAAAAGCACTGATAATCCTAGTGTGAAATATGCGTTTTGCGAAGTCAATGTTGTGTTTAAATAATTATCATTGTGTTCTCGTTTAAACAGTAATAAAATATTCTCCTAGAGTTTATGTTTATCTAGATGCTTTGAAATAATTAAAAAGTTTACAGCGCAAATAATATTATGTTTATGAGGACGTTGAAAGTAATCAGTGGTAAAACAGTTGGAAACGTCAGCCAAAACTAGAAACTAGAAGAGCTAGCGATGTGAAACATGCAAGTGGATCGTGTATTCCCTTTGTCAAACATTGTCAGACGTTGTCGTCCGTAACCACTCTGTATCTACCCGTCTGGTTAGCCTTCGACCCGAGCTATTGGTGGTGCTTGTAATAGCGGTGGTCACGCGTCGCGGTGAAAGCTGCCGATGGCATTTGTGGTGACGCGGCGAATCGGTAGACCACGCGTCCACTTTCATATGGGTGGGCGAATACACACACACACATATTTCTCCTCAGTAACCACCTGGCTGGCCAACAACACATTACGTTGAGATCGTTTACTTGTCTAATAGAAATCAACTTATATCAACTTCATTTCTATTCTGACAGCAACTAATGCACTTTCGAACTCAACATTATTTATTTTTCGAAAAGCTACTCAATGACTCACTGTCTTTCTTCTGATGCTCTTGCCAAAAGATTATCTTTTATCAATGTCGACATTGACATCGTGTCGAAGTGTGCATATATTTTGAATTTTCTTTTTATTCTATGGTACTTTCGCGATAAGTGAAACATGATACCTGCAAAAAATCCTTCTCCATTTAACACTGTAGGAAGTTAGAATACTGTTTAATAGAATGCTTGAATAGGAAGTTTGAAAAATATCACATTTATTTTTGTATTGAGGTTGATTTTAATGTTATTACGGTTTTATCGATTTATTTTTTAGGTTCAATACTTTGTCTTTCTTAATTTACTGAAGCAAAAAAAAATTTTCGGTTTGTAAAAATGGACTTTAAATTATTCCATTTTAAAAGCTAGTACTAATAATTTCAATGAAAAGTTAATTGGAGCAATATTAATTCGGATAGTAATTTAAATCTTGCTTTATTTTGAAGTCCTAAATATGGTACACTCAATTTTTGAGACATCTCACCTGATATGGAGTTTACTGTCTTATGAGAAAGTAAACTCCAGCTCAAAAGAGACAAGAACACATTACAAATTCAAGTGCATTTTTGTGACACATTTAAACGTGTTAGATATGACTTTAAATGCGTCTCTAAATGTGTGAAAAGTGACTATAAAGTCAATCAAATGGGTGACGTTATATTTAACACGTTTAAATGTGTAATAAGAATGCACTTGGATTTACAGAGCAGAACCATTTAGTAATTATTTATGTAAGGGATAGTTTTATGGTGGTAATAGAGTAGTTGGAGGGTACTAATGCTACAGTATACCTTAGAAACACGTGATCAGGCCCATGCATGGCCATATTTCATTGTTACTCGGGAAAATGATAACACATAAATCTAAGCAGGTAATAATAAGATTTGCAGGATAAAAGTATTATTTTTTTAATCTTATAAATCACAATATAGACTAAAATTGAAATTATGTAAGTATGAATAAATACATACAGATGTAAGTTAGAAAATATGATCATTTTTATCATCAAATTGAGAAAAAGGGAAAAAATAAATAAAAAAAATTGAGTTCAACTGCTTGTTAACTTTTCACAGCTGACCGGAAAGGTTGACAATTTGAACACCATCTGGACCTTGTAGAGGACATCTTTAGCTTTTGTTTAAACACCGGGAAATGCAAATCGATATATTTTTCGCGAAGATAGAGATCTTCAAAGTTTATTTTTTTGCAACCAAATAAAAAACTTTTTAACTTTATAATAAATCGCGAAATTTTTAAGCCGAGTTTGAGGTATTCGAATATAGGAATATTATTTTTTAGTAAGTGCTGATTAATTTTATCTTATGATTTAATTAGAACTTGATTAAAAATTTTTATGATATTTTATCAAAAGAAATAATAATTGATGCTTGAAAAATTCATGCAATTAAAAATAAACGAAAGATTTTAAGTCAAATCATAATTAAACATTTGTCTAATTTTTTATTGCATAAAGTTCAAAAATATCTATTACGTCAGAACTCTTGTAAAAAGCATGCCCTACAAGATAATGTCAAATGTTAATCTGACTTTTTTATCAAGTGTTAATTTTTTTAATGTAAAATTTTTCATATAATATTACATCATTCCTTTCACATGTTTCAATTGAATGACCTACAAAAAAATAAATATTTGATCAAAGAAATGAGTGAATTTTTTGAGTTGGCCTAGAAGCGATAGTATAAAAGAACTTTGCATAATTTATTGATTCATTAGAGTATAGTAACATCTTTTGAATGAAATGTGTTATGACTTATCGGCGAAGATCCATCATGAATTTGACATAAATATCCAAAAGGAGAACATTAAAATAAATGTATTTATAAGTACTTTTTAGTTCTGCATCCACGTACTAATTATATTTTAATAACTGTGGGAGTTAAGGGGAATTCCATTTGAAGCTTTTTGTCGTTGAGTGAAGGATCTAAAGCTTTAATCAGCCTAATGCAAGCTCTAGAAGGTTCTCGTGGCCATTTGGAGAATATTCCCTATGTGAAATGTCAAATGCTGCTTGTGTATGTATATTTTTACACGCATAAACAATTTATTCTATGATCCTTATACTAAATAAAAGAGAGCGGTATGTTCTAGGTGCAAGTGTTTTTAATAAAAAATGTTCAGAGCCACTGAAATAGACAAAGCTTTCTCGGATAAAGCGTAAATACTCTTGCGTACGATCACGGGTATGAATTTTTTCATGGATGCAAAATGCAAGAGGCATATGAAAGCCTGGATCAGTAACATTTTCTTCTCTCTCACTTTATCTTTTTTTCACTCGCTCTTTTTCTCCACTCTTCTCACTCAACTCGATGAGAGCTCGCGGACGCGGTAGCATGGAAAAATGTGTCGTGGTTATACGCTGTTGAAGCGTAAAGAGCTATGATAATAGAGGCGTAAAGAGGGTTCGGGGTTATTTCATAATTATAGGTTGTGCTTAAACTAAGCTTGTATATTCTTTTCCTCCACGCATTCCCGACTTACATTACCGTCGAGATTTTTTATCAATATAAATAGACAATTATGTTAATATTATTAACTATTTGTTTTCACTTGTTTAGTCCATACATTAATTTTGTTTTTTTTTAATTCATGTGATAAAAGGATTGACGTGTCGTTTTATCTAGAAACATTACTGTCATACTAAACTTTAATGAAACATTGATGTTAAATATTTTGTTAATTAATAAAGATTAAAGAACAAGCGTGTAATGTATTTTATACTTTAATAATATCAACTAAAATTCTTTGAATGAGAGACGCATAAGCTGGGATGAAAATGTATTAAAGTGAATATATTGAATTCTGACGTTTTCAAGACTGAAATATTAATCTTGAAAAATGTGAATGTTAATTTCTTGTAGTGATTTATTTTATTAACTATTAATATCTAAAGAAAAAAGTAAAATATTATCTTAAACATAAACATTTTGAAATATCGGATTTAATTGGTTAATTCTATTGTTAAAATTGTTTAATATTCATCTGAAATGTGAGATTTATCATTTTGAATCAATTAATTATTATCAATCTGATTTTATTCATTATTCATAATTTGAATATAATAATAATCAAATTAATGAATCATTTTCCGAGTATTGGAATCATCAATACACGGTAAATATTTTAGTAAAAATTCTCATTCAGTGTGATTTTTTTAAATTTAAAATTGTTCAAGAAATAATAATAAATTGAATAAATAATATCCATGGTTTTAATTATATGTTTTTGTTATATTCATAAAGAAATAATTGCACAACTG